GTGGGGTAGTAAGTTATGTGCACAGGTTCCCCCATCTGACTTATTTTGGTCTTAGGTAGGGTCAGGACGTAGTAGTCTGTATGTCTCTGCAGGGAGGAGGTGAGGAGGCACCCTTGGCTATGGTGCTGGCCACTAATGGTGAACTCTCTTGGTCTAAGAAACCCATAGAATGCTAGATAAATGGCAGTTTTAATGACCGCATTCGTATGGGGTTCAAATGGAGCCTGGTCGAGAAGGTCGGACAAGGATTTGAACAGTTTAAGGTCAATGGCAAGTCTCTTGGGAGTTGCAGGGTCGTCTGCTTTGGCTATGCCTTTCAGTAGTGTTCGGATGGGGTAAGAAGTTAAGAACCCTTTGTGGTTAGGGAAGGAGGAATACATAAGGTGTTGTATGCCCGTGAGGTATAGCTTAATAGTATTATGTGAAAACTAAAATTTAAGGTGGCAAAAAGATGCAAAAGCTATCAGTGACCTCGAACCAGTCGGCTAGGTGATGGTCAGACATGAATTGTTTGTACAAGTGAAAAGCTCTGTGATACGCGTGTTGGGTGCTGGTGGATAAGGCTAACTGGGTAAGAACATGACTGTGCTAAAGTAATTCGTCTACTTCATGACAAGTTCTTGGAAAGTTGGTGCTGGGGTTGCTAAACGATCTGCCGAGGGTAGGGACAGTTTGAAAGCCTGAAATTGAAAGCGAGAGAGTTGGTCAGCTGCCGTGTTGTATATGCCGGGAATGTGAGAGCATACAATGTGGAACTGATGGGTAGCTGCCAGCCATGTCAGTTTCCTAAGGAAACTCAAAATCGCCAAGGAGGAAGAGCGACCCTTGTTGATAATGTGGCATATTGCCAGGTTGTCGGAAAAGCAGCGTACGGACTGACCTTTTCACAACCTACACCAAGTGACGGCTGCAGCAACTATTGGGTATACTTCAAATAGGGCTGAGTTAGTGTGAAAACCCTCAATGCCCTGTGTTTCTGTAGGCCAGGTCCCCCAGAGCCATTCTGTGCCGAAAATGGCCGCATATCCCGCTGATGACGCTGCGTCTGTCCAAATGACCGGTGACTGTGAATCAATCTGCGGGAGGAACATGCTCCTCCCATTCCATTCCGAGAGGAATTTGTACCACATCTGGAGGTCAGCGGTCGCAGGACAGTCTAAGGATATGCGGACATGGTCGTTGGCGAAAGTGGGGAACAGGGCGAGGAGCCTAGCAATGAAAGCCCTGTCCTGGGGGATTATGCGCATGGCGAAATTTAGTGAACCCAGAAGTGATTGTAGTTCTTTACGATTGCAGGACCCCCTGTGCATGTAGTGGCTAATATTGTGTAGGATGTGAACTACCTTTTCTATAGGGAGGCTGGCCATCATAGTTGATGAATACAGCAGAATACCCAGAAAGTTAATCAATGTATCTGGTCCTTCGGTTTTAGTGGGTGACATGGGAACACCAAAGGATGTGAATAGTTTGGTTGCTTTGTCTAGGCTACGTGGGGGGGGGTGGAATTGGATTTGATGAAAAGAAAATCATCTAAGTAGTGTATCACATTTGGGCACCTGCAGGTATTGAGGAGGAGCCAACACAAAACTTCTGCAAACGTGTCAAAAATCCTGGGACTATTCTTGGCACCGAAAGTGAGCTTTGTAAAAAAGTAGTAGGAGTCTTGCCACTTAACGCCATGCAGGTGCCACAAAGAGGGGTGTATAGGTAATAATTTAAAAGCATTCACAACATCCGTCTTGCTGAGCCAAACCCCCAACCCTGCAGATCTGATAGCTGCAATAGCGTCATCAATAGTGGAGTATTGTAGGGAAAATTCCTCAGATGGAATCAATGAGTTTAGGCTGGGGATGGCAGAGGAGTGAGGTGCGGATAAGTCTTAGTTTGTCAGAATTTTTGCTGGAAACCAGCCCGATAGGGTTAGTTCTCCAGCTGGAAAAGGGGGGGTTAACAAAAGGCCCAATGACAAATCCCTGATCCACTTCCAGTTGTAACAGTGTGGTGACTGCCGTAGGGTGGTTAGTGGCAGACAGTTGGCATGTAAATGACCTCTGTGTGAAAACCCTGGGTGAGACCCGTACATAAAAAATCAACAAGGTGTTTGGAGGGGTGAGTGGATAGCATACATGCAAGTAAAGGAATGTTTACCGGAGACAAATAAGGTTTCTGGTACATTTTATTAGGGCACATGGATTTCACATGTGCCCTGAAACAATGTGAGCACACATGCAATAAGCGTCAGGCGCTGTTGCCACAGGAAAAAGTATAGCCACCATACTTATTACCGAGGTCCACCAGCTTATGCATATATAGATCGAGTTCCTCCCTTCTATGAGCCGTGCATAGAATATCTCTAAAGATACCGAAAGCCAGCACGAAATCAGGAATGGCAAGTTTCTTACTGAGTCTGGGGTCTCTGGCTTTTAAAACCACCGAGATGTCCCCGTAGTCGTAAGACCGGTTTTCCACGATATCCTGGGAGGCAATGAGCAGTGAGACTAAGTTAACGTCCTTGCCTTCCAGGATGTCCTTTTTTAGATTTGCCGGAACCATGTGGGCAGGATTAATAACGTGGGCAGCTGCTTTTGTGGCTATGGAATTACCCGTTATTGCTGTGGGTATGGCGTGGATTAATTCGGACAGAGGTCCCGGAGGTTGTGCGGGGAAGCTACGGGCTTCCAGCCTCTCCAGCCTGTCGTTAACCTTCCCCATAGAAGAGATTAGGGAGGCAACCATAGTCGGATCTTGGGAGCTGCTTGTGCCTTCCCCTGCGTCTGTATTAACGGTATTGGTTCTTAGCAGTTTGAACAGTTCTGCTTTCCTGGCAGTAGCTGGGAAAGGAATACTGCGTTTACGTAATTCTGCAGTGATGCGGGGGATAATCCATGATCTGATGGACGAGGGGCTTCCCGTGTCGCCCTTGCGGGTCGGAGTAAGTGACCTAGCAGGGGTGCTAGGGATTGACATATCCTCACCATCGTCTGGGAGTAGGGACATACTGAAAAATATAATAGACATGTATGGTAACCAGGGTTGGGAGTTGACGGTGGCTAGCTAGTGCCAGATGGCGAAAGATTATTCTAGGTTTGTGACAGGTGAGGCCCTGCTAGTGCCAAGTGGCTAGAGAGGCTCTATCTATGAGTTGGCACGAGGAGTGTGGTAGCCTATCCGGTGATGGGCCGTTGGCCTCTCCATGCGTGTGTGGGGGGGGGGGGCATTTGGCGTGACTGGTGTCGCCCTCTCTATATAATTTGCGAGGCGGCTAACTATGATTTGGCCTCGCGGACCGCTAGGATTAAGGGGCAGGAAAATAACTAACATGGCCGTGTTGAAAAAGAAAACGTGCAAATCAACATACCTGCAGAAAAATTGAGCACTGGTTCTGTGTAAGAGAATTCAGATGTCTCTTGAGTAGGGGGGGTTAGCTTAGGTGACCCGTCCGAGGGTATTCAGGTTCCTGGGGGTATGAGAATTTTAGATAATGTACTCTAATGTGGAACATATACATAATATGAATAAATTGACGTAGTAAGAGTTCTGGGGGGGATTGCAGCGAGTATTGTCCCCACAATGTACACAATGCCACCGGTAGGCTATGTACTTTAACCGTAACCGTGGTATAATTATTATCATAAGACTTAACGTTACTACTATACATGCAGATATCTCATAACATATCTAATCAGCCATAAGTAAACATATATCATGTACTATCATGTTTATCAAGCATATCATACCATATATGTATAACCAGCATTTTACTAATTTAACCAGTGTCCTAATTAGCAGTATATGTATAAATAACAGCAAGGTATGGAACCGTAAAGTATTTGAAAGGAAAGTGTATGTTATAATCATGTAAGGTTGCAAACTGGCTGAACTAAGGGTCAGCCAGCAACGGAACGTACCATGGCCCCCCTTTTAAAATTGTGCAAGATAGGTAGACCAGGGTTTTAACCCTGAAGCCTACTATAATGCCCCCATTTGTGTGTTGCCGGCGGGAACAGGGACCCTTTACGATATAGGGGTCTGGTTGAGGCCTGTTCCCGCCCGGGCCGTATGTATGTCCCCCCCCCCTTTTAACCATCATAACTTCCCCCTTAAGACTGGGTTTCGCCGGCGGACGGGAACAGGGACTCCTAACGGTAATGGAGTCTCTGTCCTGCACCCAGGCCAGCTACTATACCCCAGTAGGAGCCCTGCTTACCGCACCAAAAATGGTCTGGTGGAGGGAGAGGCCGGTCGGGTTGTGGCCGGCGAGTGTCCGGTTCTGGGGCCGGTCCGGTTCTGGGGCTGGTGATGCCAGGCTGAAAGCCGCTGTTCGGCCCGGGTTTGGAGAGCCGGTGGGCCTGTGGAGCCTGTGGAGCCGGCGGAAATCAGCGTGTGACGTCAGAGGAGTGCGCCGCGTCTCGCCGGAAGTGACGTCACGAACCAGGAAGTCAGGAGCAACGGAAGCCGGCGAGTATCAGCCTCCTGTTCGTCTAGACCAACGAAGGTAAGTAAGGGAAGGGGAGAGTCCCTTAAGTAGGTCTATAGCCCTTCCCACAACTTCAGGCCATGCCTTCCAATATATGTAAAACCAAGATGGCTGCACTCACCTGAACATGCATACATTATAGGGTGCTACTGGGGCCAATATATACAACATACAAAATACACAATCCAGCCCACTCGCTTCTTCACTAAACAATGATTTCAAATCTTACAGATTGTAATAATTTTATTCTAAAACACCTCACCTACGCAAAAAATAATGGGGGGGGGGGTTAAGTTACATTATATGATCATATATTGTATAAGCATAAGGTGTTTTTTAATAAAACCATTACAATCTGTTAGATCTGAAATCATTTGTAAGTTGTATACACATAAGTCCCTACCCATCCAGTACACAGATACACAGGATACATAAGATATATGGATGGTTAGGGACTTATGGGCCACCCTGTATATATATATATATATATATATAGTGAAAATGTTTAATTAAAAACTAGTTTCACTCAATTCATGTGATTTGTAGAAATATGCATACATATGTCTATGTATGCACTATATATATATATATATATATATATATATACATAGACATATGTATGCATATTTCTACAAATCACATGAATTGAGTGAAACTAGTTTTTAATTAAACATTTTCACTCTTACTGGCATGATACATGGACTCATTGGCACAAACACTGTTTAACCAAACTGACAGACACACACTCATACTTACACAATGATATACATACACACACATCAACCCTCAACACCAAAAAGATTATGGAATCTACATACGTGGCACAATTAAAGATTGACTTCTCAAAGGATTCCCCACTCCTGATACAGCAAACATTAAATACAAAAAAGTTGGAGATACTTATAAAGGAACAAAAACAAGACAACATAGTATAGCACTACTTAGGTAATAAAGCCCAATAAAAGTAATATATTGCACTCACAAACTACTAATATAGATTAATCTCAAATCTTCTTGTTATAATTTGAAATAAACATATATTTTAATGTCACACTAAAAATAAAGTATACAAAAGTTGGTGCAAAATTTTTTTGATTCCATATTAAAAGTTTATTTTATTCCAAAATTTAAAGCATATAATAAACCCATTCTGCTGGACAAACAAGATGGTCACGCCCTACGCATTTCTTCACTCAAACTTCTTCAAGGGCCTACAATAAATTGATATTTAGATTGGTGAATACAACAAAACCCAAAATAAAACACAGATAAAAGAGAACATGCATGCAAACATTACCGCAACACCATACTTTAAATAACCCTCTCTCCCCATTTGTAGAATTCATCAATATTTGGCCAATCAGGATTGGGGGAGTATCCATGCTGTTCCTCTTTAAATCACCAGCTGATTCAATTGACGTCCTTTTGCGGCATGTAAACCACATGGTTTACTGACACTATCACACACCACGTGAATCACGAGGTCTGTCCAAAAGAGAGTCCCATTTGGTTCACAACTGGAGTAACGTCCAAAACCACATGTAAAAGAGTGGAAGTATATTAGTTATATAGATCAAATAGTCCACCCGCCATCTTTCTTTATGGAAAGTGTTTCATTTTTGAGAGTGAAGATAGCACAAGAGTGTGTTATAATTAACAATTTAACAGGGGTGGTAAAAACGAAATATTGCAATATACAATATGCAATTTAGTGAAACATTGTATGAGGTGGTGAAAAAGCATACAATGTTTATTTGATTAATTTGTTTTTTCATTGAAATTCAAATAAACAATGCATCTGATTGCATGACTCTTGTATGTACAATTCTCTAGAGCAGCTCCACTATGTATCATTTGACTTGATAGAGTACTTGATGAGTTACCTGTGGGTGGCACTAAACTAAACGTATATTAATGTGTCTCTGCAGAGTTCTAAGAGGTCATTAAGAGGTAACCCTGTTAAAAACTGCATCAATCTGAAAACTATTTCAGTCTTTTGCTTGTAGCTGGATGTGAAAATCATTTTCGAAAGGTCAGTGGAACTCATTACAAAGGCTCAGCATCTATGTTACATCCAAGACAAAACTTGCCATTCTACACTCTGGAAAAAGTATAATTCCTACAGCTATAGTTTAATAGCTTTTTCTAAATTGGTTTAATCCCTGACTCTAAAAATTAGGATATATTAAGTCATTAGCAGATTTTTTTAATGTTTAAATAATATTCCCATATTTTAAAAAGTCCTTACAAGTATAGATATATTCAAAGTCCAGCGTCATAAGTCACGCGTACAAACGCACGTGACATCTGATGTCAGGGCGTCTGACAAAATACAATTAAAGTTACACATACACAAAAATGCAGCTTTACATTTAACAAGGCTACTTAAAATCACCTATCTTAGCAAATAAATATGGGGATTCAGTTCCACCATATGGCCATATTGTGCCAAGCCCACCACTACAATACAGTAGCCCACTAATTTTAACATGGGAGATTTACATGCTAACTCGCAATACTTACTTGCAGTAGAAATTGCTTCAATAGACTCCTCAATTTCTTCAACATGAAATATGCATAAACTATATACCAGATCCATAATCTACAAAACAAATTCATATATAATCAATAAACATGATAAATCAATATATAGTCAGTGCTACATTACTAACAGTTATAGACACATTCTCCATTAACCCATAATGATACAGTTGATAAAGTATTTTAAATGTAATGAAACAAATCATAACTATTAATAAATTCCATAGACAAACAAACGAAGACCATATTATTAATTAATTCATTATTTCATGGGTACACATGTTAACATAAATTGATGATTCTAACTATAATGTACATAAGGTATAAGTGTAATAAGTGTAAATGTCAAAAGATGAATTAAAAAGTTATAGAAATGTTAAAGTGCTAAATATATATTTTTATAAAGTAAATAAAAGTATAATGCAACTAGCAATCACTTAAAGTGACATTTATCAATTAATGAAGGGAACCTGAGTGTAACACAATTGAATTCATTATAGTAATTAGCTACTAAAAGTCATAATGCAAAAATAACAAACAATAAAGTGCAAAAATAAAAAATAAAAAACAGTGTGAAAAAATAATTATTAAGTGCTAATTACCTACAATAAAATGCAATTTACTTAGCATAAAATGAATGGGTCCAGGAACATGCAACCAAATCTTAATGATAAAAAGGTGTATATTAAAAACTCAGCACCTACACTCAAAGTTGTAGAAAATCTGTAAGAGATATGAAACAATAAAATATTATTATATTATTATATATAATTTTTTTAGTTAAAAACAGAATATAAATAATGATTTTGTGTCCATATTTAAAAGATCTGCTACTCCTAGGAAAAGGGTAAAATAATAAAAATAGCAGTCTGTCCTAGGCCCCATATAGGGTAGTGTTAGGGAGATTGCAAGGAATAACACAGAGCATTGGAGAATAATACCTAATTCCAAAGAACCCTTAGTAAAAGAAGAAAAATGGAAATGAGCAAGTCCCTAAAAAAATGATAAGGAAAGTTTATTCAAAATTGGACAAAATTATTTTTTTAAATGAGAAGTATTCAAAGACTCAAATAATCATAGTATTTTTGGGATTTGTAATTGCAAAGCTACCTTTTGACTCTTTTTAACCATTGCTAGGAGAGCCTCAAGAAATGCAAGGTAAATAGGTGGTTAAGTCATGGTAGCACTCTCAGATACATCCTTATATCAGAGATCCAGCCTGTGGTAATAGGAGGCTATATGCTTTGCAATACATCCTTTTAGCATTAGGCATGTTATATGGTTTTATGTAGTCAAATGTATTATACCTAATCACTACTACTGTTAGTGTTACAGAGACTTGATTGATATATACTTACCTCAAGTATCATTATATCAAGACAGACCAATATTTTGACTCTCAGTGAGTATCTATACTAATTTAGTAGCATTTTTGTAACAATCCTTTTTGTTATTTTTCTAAGGATCAGTTGTGGTTTATATTGGCGGGCCATTTTCCTTTGTGGGACTTTAAACATATGTCCTCCCTATATTCACTCCATAGACAGAGATCTAATTAGGAGACTCCATATGTACATATTTTCTTCTGTTAGGTGATGGGTTTACTATTATTTTTTACTGATTATTTGAGTCCTTGAATACTTCTGATTTCAATACAAATTTTTGTCCAATTTTAAAATAAACTTTCCTTATTTTTTTTGAGGACTTGCTAATTTCCATTTTTCCTCTATTAGTAGGGGTTCTTTGGATTTAGTTATTATTTTGTAAAAAATAAATAAAAATCCACCCTAAAACCTATCCATTATTGCCACAAAATACTCTAGCACAAATGATGTCTATGTGCCTGTGTGTACATTGCTTGTGTACACCCTTCGTACCTTTGCAATTGCAGTCATCCATTTTTTAATGTGCGGAGGTAATTTTTCTCAAACTTTATAGATTAGGGTGCAGTGTGATACCCATCTTCCCCTTTTCCCCCCAGTGGTTTGTATTAATTTATTGCACTGTTGTCTAATGTAGACACACATGTTTGAGCATGTGCATTGATACCTTTAAGACCTAGAGATGGACTGATGATATAAGCTAAGGCTGCTCTATTTATCTATCTCTATCTATCTTTACCCCTTTACTTTATTAACTGAATACTCCAGGCACTTCAGTATCACTCTACTGCCAGGTGTAGTGATACATATATGTAGATATGATATATATGATCTGTGTCCTCTGCCATGTAGGTAAAGTGAACAGCCATTGTACACTTAGTGGAAATCCTAGGAGATTTAAAGGACATATTGGTCTAAGTTCACAGAAGTATAAATATTAGAATCACTTTTCAAGTAGTGTCAGTTTTATTTTAAGTTTCCTTTCAATAAAGATATTCTTATTTTTCCTTTGTAAATCCAGTACCAGTCCTTTAAGGGCAAGCTTTGGGTTACTATTTTGTGTTGTAGAATTTTATGTGTAATTATTACTAGGGTTACCCCCCTATCTGTAGGTTGTAGATCTTACTGTTAACCCATATATCTGTGGCTATTCTCTATTAAATATCACAGGACACACTTAGAGGTCTTGTGGAGTCCATGCCTCAACATATCAGAGCTTTTTTTTGCTGAAGGTCAGGAACCTACATGATATTAGGCATGTGGTTTTAATATTGTGGTTGATGAGAATAGCTAATTCCGGTATAGTTGGGATAACACCTACTATACCACAATTTTAGCATGATTTTTTAATATGACAACAGAATATTTCATTTTTAACATATTCTCAATGTAAAAAAAAAAAAAAAATGCAATTCACTAATTTTCATCCAGTGTATTTATAAGGTGGCCAGTCTTCAGAGCTCTATAAAATTTCGTCTTCCATTCATTATCTTTGGTAGAGGAATGAGAGAGCTGTGCCCTAGCGGCAATGCTCATTTTTCTCGGTTGTGATATGGAATAAACAAGGATGAAGTCCTAGTGGTACAAATCTGGGAACTTCACTTAAATATTTCACATTTTTCTCACATATAGGCCTCAATTTAATATTGTTGGATAAGCTTTTTTAATGATTTCATATTTTAAGATAAACTTTTAAAATTATAATTTTTTTTATATTAAAATACCAAAA